AAGCATGGGGACTGTCCCCTTCTCAAGAGCTTTCCCAGAAGCCACACTAGCGACTCTACCTATCACAGGCCAAGGCTTGGGAGATGATCATTTCTTCAAAAAAGACAAAGAGAGCGAGTGGGTTTTGTTTTGTTTTTTTTTTTTTAAGTAAACATTAAGTTGAGCAAAATCTAGGTTCTGAGAGTAAGAAGACCAGGGAGAATGGATATAGAGGCAGCCAGCAGTGTCTGCGTTACTGGGCCAGAGAGAAAGTGCCAACCAATGTCGTAGAATTCATATCCTAAAGATCACCAACTGACCACAAAGCAACTAGATTGGAAATGAAAAACAAGGCAGAGAAGAACCCCTGGCACTGCATCTTAAAAACACATTTCTGAATAACCCATGAATGCAAGAAGTCGTCAAAATGAAAATGAGACAGTATTTTGAATGAGCCATAATAAATAAAAATATTACCTATCATAACTTGTTCAATAACTTAGGAGAGGGATACGTGTGGCCTTGAGTACTTACACTGTGAAAGCAAACACAGACGGTAACGAGCTAGAGGTCCTTAGGGATATGGCCCTCAGGCAAGCCTGTAGTCACAAGATTGACACGAGCTCTCTCAGAATGAGTCCTTTGTGGACAGTGAGGATCTACACCTGGAGGCCTTCCATGTTTATTAGACTAGCAGAGCTTCCCTTCCCTGTGTCCTCACCTGTGTCCAATAAGGATGAGCGCTTGTGAAGGCTTTCATACCTTTTTCTGTGAAAACTATGACTGTTTTCTCTGCAGATATATAGTTCCTGCCCTGATTCTTTTAAGTCGAATTAAGTAACTTTTGCCAGAGGCTCTATTTAAGTATCTATTTTCCCAAGGCTTCTTACATAACATTTTAAAAAAATAATTTTTAAAAACTATATTTCCAATCCTCGAAAAAGGACATCTGTGGGAGGAGAGAAATTTGACTATAGGTCGTTTGCTGGCAACATTGTTTTACCAGCGTTAAATTCATAAACGTACTAATCATATTTTATTACAGAGGACAGTGTCTGCCAGGAGACAATTCTCCATGGGTAGCTCACATTTCCACATGCCTCACTCTGTTCCCAACTATGTCTTCAAGGATGTTTACATGGTAACATCCTCACAGCAGAGGACAGATTTGTTTGCTGACCAGTGTGATAATGTCCCCCTCTGGGGCCAAGGTTGGTCAAGTTTATTTGCAGGTCCTTAGAAAAGCTTGGGGTTCCTCAGCTGTGACACAAACCCACTCTATGTGCAGCAGCCACCCGAGTTGCTTCGTGTCACCCCTGTGGGACTTGGGAGTGTAAGAGAACTAACAGGAACATGGAGCTTATGCTTCCTGCTCTGCTGTTATGAAGTCCTTTGTCTCTGACCCAGAAGTCTGGTATCTTTGACCAACATCCATGAAACTGTGGCAGGCTAACTTGTTAGCTTATAAGAAGGGGAAAATCTCAGATTTGCAGTTCCTGGCAATATCCTTGTTCTCAGGATAAATGTGAAACAAGGGTGCTAAATATTATGGAAGGTAAGAGAAATGCTAACAATGCCACATGTCTGTAATGGCTCATTAATAAAAGCAAATTATACACAAGCAAAGGAGGATATAAAACTCACAAAAAAAAAATATTGACAACTGGTGAATCCAGGTGAAGTCATGGGATGTGGGGGAATTTCCTCAACTAATTTTTATGAGGCTAGCACATCCTTGAATCAACAAGAAGATGTCAGCAGTAGAAGGGAAAATTGCAGGCCAATCTTGCACAAAAAGATGCAAAAATCCTATATATTAGGAACCTAGGAATGATGATGATGATGTGTAATAGATACGTGATGACCAAGTTATCCAGGAATGCAAGGCTAATCTCACAGTGCAAAATCAATGAAAGAAACGTATCACACAAACATGTTAGAAAAGTTACATGTATTCATTCGTTCATTCAACAAATACTTATTGAGTGTCTACCATCGGTTCTACCATTGTTCTAGGGGTTTTAAAATACATCAGTGAACAAATATTATCATCTCAGGAGATGCGGAACATTTGATAAAATTCAACATCTGTTCATGAGAAAAACACTGACACCCTGGGCAAAAAAGGGAACTTTCTTTCCCTTGATAAAGTTATCTACAAAAATGTTACAACGAATACCAAACTGAAAAGTGAAATACAAAAAGAATGCTCCTTGAGATCAGAAAGAAGACAAAGGTACATAACACCACTTCTAGTTGATATGGTTCAAGCCCCAGCCAGGGACAGTTAAGCGACAAAAGCATAAGAAAGGTGTAAGGATTAAAAAGAGCAAGCAAAATCTGTCTGTATTTGTAGATATGATTATCTGTAGAAACCCCCCAAATATCTACACATCGGTTTAGAAAAAGAATGTAGCAAGTTTGGTACGAGCTAAACTCCATGAACAAAGATAATTATCTATGAGAACCAGCAAAATACATAAACCTTGAGTCCTTCTCCAGAAACTTACACTCTGATTTAGTTTGAAGTAGCCAAAGCCTATGAAAGAAAACCATTCAATGTTTCACAAAAAGTCCAAAAGGACTTTTAAAGAACACAAGGGAGAGAATCAAATTAGAAAGTGCAGTGTCGAAAAACCTGAGTAAAAGGAGGAAGACTGAAAGAGAAGATGGCATTGCCAAGCTAAACAAATACCCCACCAGAATCCCAATAAATGAGTTAGAGTGTCATGCATTCTGAAAATGATTCATCAACAACTGAACTCCCAAATCATTTGAGAAAACATATTGCTATCGTACCCTTCAAGGAACACCAAAATTGCAGGGATAACTTCAAAGTTGTTATGACTATATCCTACCACAGTGGAGGCTGTAGCTAGGTTTATCAAAATGAATGCACAATGGAAGCTTCTTTTATAACAACATTAGTAATGTATAATTTACATACCATAAAACTCACCCATTTAAAATGTACAATTCAAGTAATTTTTAGTAAACTTACTGAGTTGTGCAACTATCAGCATGAACCAATTTTAGAACATTTCCATCAACCCAATGAGATACCTCATGCCTGTTTAATTGGGTTCCCACCCCCTGCCCAGGCAGATACTAACTTACTCTGTCTCTATGGCTTTGCCTTTTCTGGATATTCCATATAAATGGAATCGTACAACATGTGGTCCTCGGTGCCTTATTTCTTTCACTGAGCATAATGTTCTCAAGGTTCATCCACATTGTAGCATGTAACAGAACTGCATTTCTTTGTATTGCCAAATAATATTTCATTGTATGGATAATTGTATTTTGTTTACCTGTCCTCCAGCCATGACTTTTGGGGTTTCTCCTTTTTGGCTATTATAAAATATGCTATGAACATTTGTATGCAAGTCTTTGTGCGAACATATCTTTTTATTTCTCTTGGGGTCTAATAGTAAATTTATGTTTAAAAAAACTGCCCAACTGTTTTTCGAAATGGCCACACTATTTTGCATTCCCACCAGCAATGCATTGTTCCCTGTATTTTGGAAGTACAAAATACAAAGAGTTAATGTACTGTTTTGGAGGGCTAATAATAGAAAGAAGTTGAGGGGTGGGGTGAAAAATGTGAAGAGATTAAGAAGTACAAATTGGTAGTTAAGAAATAGTCATGGGGACGTAAAGCATAGGGAATATAGTCAATAATATGGTAATGACCATGTATAGTGCCAGGTGGGTACCCGACCAGTCAGAGGGATCACCTCAAAAGCTATATAGATGTCTAACCACTGTGCTACTATAAAATAATATTGAATGTCAACTGTAATTGAAAAATTTTTTTAAAAAGGGAAGAAAAGGTGAAAGGGAATAAGAGGTTCAAATTTTCAGGTATAAAACAAATACATCATGGGGATGTAGGGAATGTAGTCAATAATATTGTTGTAATAGCATTATAGTGTCAAATGGTGGTTGGACTCATCATGGTGATCTCTTCTTTAGGTAGATAAACGTTGAATAACTATGGTGTACACCTGAAACTAACATAATATTAGTTATATTTTAATAAAAATCTTTTTTAAAAAGCAATTTTGAAAATATAGGCAAAAAATGAGTGAAACTGTTAAATTCCATTTTCTAAATAAAATAACTTACATTTTAGCTCTTAATTTGAGATTAAAGGATAAATAATTTACAAATGTTTTATTCATTTTTACAAATAATCGAAACCTAAGGAAATTTTAATGAACATCTTTGAAAAAGGACTGACCATTATAGTCTGCCGAATTCTTGATAAAAAAAAAAAGTAGGAAAAGGTAAAAATATTTTAAAATATTGTACCCAATGATTAACAAGGCCCTCTTACTAAGTATAATCTGTATAATGATACTCTCTCTTCCAATAACAAATCATATTTGTAAATTGTGACCTTATGCATCAGATTCTGGATATAGTCCTTGTAAATAAGGTAGCACTCTAATAAGCATACCTGACTGGGGGAAAAAAGAATGTAAAGAACTATATATGGCTAACTTGACCTAGAACAGTAAATTCAGCCTGCATGTTAACGCCCAATACAATGACTGCTTCAAGGCATTTATAGTTGAGGACATAGCTCTTGGTTGGAGCACTAGGAGGGATGCTGCCTACCAAGTCACGTGGATGTGAGCAAACTTAAAGAGGGAAAAAAACAATATTCTTACTGGACTGTTTGCTCAGATTAAACAACTGATCAGGCTTGTTTTGTTTTCCCATCAAGTTGCTACTTCTGTTACGGAAGACAAGCATCTCCATTTCCACAGTTTACAGCTTTGTTAACTTTAGGCAAAATCAACAGGTTATGCTTTCTGGGGTGATGGAAATGTTTAATATCTGAAATGGGGCGGTGACTATATGGGTGTACACATTTGTTGAATCTCATCAATCTGTACATTTTAAATGGTGCATTTTATTATGTGTAAATTAAGTTTTGAGAAAAAATTTTTAAACTGAACGTGGTTTTTAAAAAATATACTGAAAGAAACAATTGCGTACGTGAAGTATTTAAAGATTTTTTTGGTCTTGAAAATAGGGAATATAAAAAGAACATATATTTAACCATAAAATACTGTGACTCGTCAATCAGCACAAACTTGCATTTCATGGAGTTCATCTGTTGACTCTGAACATAAATTATGTGGTCAAAGATGTAAAGATTTTGAACTATCGTTCATTCCGATTGTGTTGTCTTACCATATTTGTCTTTAACAAGCTACCCGTTGAAAAGTACTATGTTTACAAATCTGTTTGGAAATGTTCAACAAAATTTAGAATTTTTAGTAAACATTTATCGCTAGCATCCAAAAACATTAAGAATATATGTTTACAAAGAAAAATTACATTTCTAATACGCAGTTGACCTTTGAACAACATGGGTTTGAACTGCAAAGATCCCCTATTAAACAAATTTTTTTCAATAGATATACAGTCGACCCTCTATATCCCCATTTCACATTCGCAAGTTCAACCAAAATACTGTTTTCAATACAGAGTTGGGAATCCATGGATGCAGAGCACCAATTGTATGCATTGACCTGGCCATTTTATACAAGAGACTTGTACATGCATGGATTTTGGTATCTGCAGGGGTCTTGGAACCAATCTCCTGCAGATACAGGGGATGACTGTGGTTAAGTTTTGGGAGAGTCAAAATTATATGCAAATTTTTGAATGTGCAGGGGTAGGGCATCAGTGCCCCTAATCCCCACATTGTTCAAGGGTCAATTGTATTAGCATATAGAAAAACATGAGAAAATATAGAGTTCCTAGAAAGAAATCTGACAATAAATGTGCCAGACCTTCACAGGAAAATATATAAAACTTTACTGAAAGACATTAAAGAATGCCTAATTAAATGCAGATACGAAGTTCGTGGCCTGAAAGATTTAATAACATAAAGATGTTGAATCTACCAGTACTGATTCAATGCAGTTCCAGATATGATACCAGGATGATTTTCTGTGGAGCTCTGCAAGCTTATTATTAAATTTACATGGAGAATAAAAGGCACAGAAAAACAAGTCGTGGAGAACTGACTCTGGAATATTAAAAAATAGTATAAAATTATTAAAGATGGTTCTATACTGATGCAAGGATGAACAAACGAATTAGAACAGAGTGGAAGGCCCCAAAACAGAAAAACATGCACAAAGAAACAACTTATGAGAGCTGGCTTTCTGATTAGAGCTCTAGGAAAACTGATTATCTACCAGAGAAGAAATTAAATTGTAATCCTCCTGATACCACATAAAAAAATAATTAATGGATAGGAAAATATTTTCAAAGCTATTTTAGAAGAATATTTTAGGAACATTTTAGAAGCCAAGAAAGTAGAACACATTTAAATGTATGTTATTGTCCCAACACAATCAGCCACAGACCACAAGGGACAAAACCTATAGTCTGACAAAGTCAGGTTTACTCGCTCATTACAAGGGAGACCACACACCTGAAGAACCATGAAGTATCCCACCAAACAGGGGATGATATATGGATACTTAGAATTTTGGAGAAGGAGACAGTTCAGATGGAATTGAAATGAAGTAGTATTTTGGTAGGCTCAAAGTAAAGTGACACTGTGAGCTAATAGTCATCTAAGAGATATTAGACAATATTTAGAACTAAATCAAACATTTAAAAATCTTATGAGGTTGGGAGGGGGTAATGGGTTAAGGGGATCAAATATAGGGTAATAGATGGAAACTAGATTTTTAGTGGTGAGCACACGATAGAGTTTACAGACATCACATTATAATGTATACCTGAAATTTATATAATGTTATTAACCAATGTTACTTAAATTTAAAATTTTTTAAAAAACATAGATCAAAACCCATGTAATGTCGCTAATGGGGTATTTAAAGGGCTACCTATAGCCTTAAATGCTTATATTCAAAAACTCAGACTGCAAATTAATGAGTTAGATTTCCAACTTAAGGCTAAGACATTGATAAAAGCAATCCCACATTTGTAGCATTTATAAAGTTTCTCTCCCACTCAGAATTTCCTTGTGCAGAAGGTCACTGTATTGGCGGAGCTTCTCCCCAGTATGGGTCCTCACGTGCACTGTCAGATGGAACTTCCTGCTAATGGTTTTGCCGCAGGCACTGCACAGATAGAGCTTCTCTCCAGTGTACACTCTCTTATGTAGTCAAGTCGCTGCTCCTGATGAGGCCTTTCCACAACCACTGCATTCATCCAGTTTCTCCCAAGTGTATACCTTTTTACGTCTGGCACGGCCCCAGCTGGATCTGAAGAATTTCCCACACTGATTACACTCATAGTTTCTTTACAGTGTGAGTTCACATATGTGTCCTAAGGGATAGGTGGCAACTGAAAGCTTTCCCACACTGAAAACATTTGTAAAGTTCCTCACCAGCATGAGATTGAGCATGGACTTTAAGAGATGAAGGATAACTAAACGCTTTCCCACATTCTTTACATTCATTGCACTTCTCCTGGGCAAAATAAAGTTTCTTCTGATGACTTTTCCACATAGATTCTATTCATGTGGTTTCTCTCCAGGTTGAACTGGTGTCTGCTGATTAAGGGATAAGTGGTAACTAAAGGCTTTCTCACTTTCACTACACTTACAGGGATTTCTCCCCCAGAGTGTCTGCACTGTAAAGAAAGCAAACTCCTACATTAAAAATTGCTACCATTTTCAGAGCATGCCTACTGCTTCCAAATTGACTAAGGCAAATGCTCTGCCACAAGGTTCTAACAGTCATAAGGCTTATTAGATACAGATTTTTTCTGACAATTGCTTAAACAAAAACTGAATTATGTATCAATATTCACTATCTGAGTCACACTTGTGGGAATTCTCCATGAATCAACAAAATTTGAAATCAGTTTAGAATGTTCCCCAAATTCATGATAATGATACTCAGAGACTATCCTGCAACGTGACTGCTCTTGGGTGAAGGCCACTGGCCCCAAGTGTCTCCCTTGTGCCTGTGCTGTTTTTCTACCTCAACGCAATCCTAGAATTCTGCTGCAGACAACAGCAATGAGCCCTAGAGAGCCTTACCCTCTTCCTGCCAGGAGATGGTTTATCCCAAACTTTATTATTCCACTTTGCAGTCATCTCTTTGGTTTTAAGTTGAAGTTGAGACTTCTGGTCTGAAACAAAGGTAAAACAACAAAAGTCAAACAACAAAAACAAAGGTCAAACAACAAAAAAAAAAACCATTTAAGTTCTTGTAGAAATAAATGATGAGACAAAAACAATTTTTTAAAAAGCTAGAGCCACACAGATCTTTTTCCAGATGCTGACCCTAAACACGAGAAGTCAATGTGACAGGGAAGAACAGACCAGCAGTTAAAGACAGACTTCAAGGATTTCGGCAATGTGAAGGATTTACCGATGACCTGAATGAGGGGTGAAAATGGCAGATGACTTGCTAAGAAATGGTTTTGTTGGGAAAACCATTTGGAAAATGGACAGACAAGTTGGCAGGGCCATGTTCTAATAAAACTTTATCTATAAAAGTGGAAATGCTCTGGAAAGAGGAAGGAGGACAGAGCTTTCACTGAGGGTAAAAGAAAGTGAGAGAAGAAAAAGAGGAGGAGAGGGAGGAAAGCTGAAGCTTCAAGAGGAAATTCACCCCAAGTGGGCTGAGATGATCACTCAGACAAAATAACGTTTTAGAAATTCCCTAAAAGGGCTCCTTTCACCCAGAGCTCACCTGCACAGGTATCTTGGAGAATCCTCTCCTTGTTTCTCACCTGGGTGAGCACCCTGGGTTTACAGAGATGACACCCTCCCTGCACACAAAGAAAGACACAGGAGGTAGGAGGGATGTTCAGGGATAAAGAGGGAACGTCCCCCCAGAGTGGGGCGACACTTTCAGGGGGTGGGCATGTGAGACCCCGTGAGCAATGACATGATGGTACCCCAAACCCAAAACTTAAACTACCTCCTGTCATGCCCTACAGGGATCCAGGATCCTCTGACCCAAGGGTAGGGGTGTACTTCAGGAGCACTAAGCTTCTATTCATGAAGAAAATAAAGTCAGCACAATGCAGGAATCTTCACACTCGAGGAGAAGACACTGGACTAGGGGTTGGCAACCACAGCCCAGTTAGCCACCTACTTTTGTAAATAAAGTTTTATTTGAACACAGCCCTATTTCTGTATGTTCCATCTACGGCTGCTGTGGCACTATACTGGCAGCATGAGTAGTTGCAACGGAGACCCTATGGCCCACTAAGCTAAAATATTTCTTCCGTAGACCTTTAAGGAAAAGTATACCTGCCCCTGCTCTCCACTGACATTCCTTAACAGGTAGGCCACATGTCCTTCTTCACCACTCTCTTCTCAAGATCAAGGATGATTCCCAGAACATAGCAGGTGCTTAAGAAATATCTGCAGCAAAAATCTACCAGTGATGAGATGAGGCTGGCCTCTCCCCGAGGCCAGGCTCCCGTAGTGCTCCAGCATCGCATCATCTCTGTACAAGATTTTCTGAGTGGGGTCAGCAAGGCAGAGGAACCTAAGATCATTAAAGGAACATTAATTAGCCTGGATGTCACCTGTAGGGCCCTACTCCTTGGCTCTTCAGTCTCCAGGGAAGAAGGGATTTGGGAGGAGCTGCTCTCATGCAGGGAGGGGGGTTCCCGTGTCTTCCCCCACCAGGGACACCACCCTAAGCCATCTTTTTTGTCAATGCAAAACTTCCCCCAGCCTTTCCCAGCTGGCGACAACCCTCGGCTGGCAGCACCTGCCCCCTCAACATCCATACCCCTTCCCGCCATTCCCAGGTGTCCTTGAGCCCAGCTTCTCTGCCAGTGCCTTCCCATGGAACCTTCTAGGAGGCCTTATGCAACTGCTTCTGAGCCACCTCGACCTTCTCCAGCCAAAGGTTTTCTCTTTTCCCTCCATGAAGAACCTAATTTGCATCATTGGGTGGAGAGCCCAGCTGCGGGGAGAGGCGAGAGGAAGGCTGGAGACCTGGGGGCCAAATCAGACTGGGCGGGGGTTCCCCAAGTCTGCAATGGAGGAGATCTCAGCGGGGCAGTCCATGTGAATGGGCCCTCCTCTGGTGCACTGGGTGGAGTGGAGGGGCTGGCTAGCTGGCTGCTTGGGAGAGGCCCTGGGGTGGCTGCAAAGTCACTTGGAAACCTTCCCATCCTTTCTTTATGAACACACACCCTGGAGACAACACTGATAAATTTCCACAGATGAATTCTCATGGGGAATTTCTTTTTCATCACTGAGCCATGAAGTCTCTAATTCCTCAACTTGTTTTCTATACAGCACAATTACAACAGCGGTAAATTATCCTCACTGTCCCTCCCTCGCCTCGCCACCCCCCCCCCATATTTTGACTTAGTCTACATCTTTTCACGGACATTGGTTCCTTTTCCTGTGCCTGCTTCATTCGCCCCACAGCATTTGGCTCCATCTCAGTAAATGGCCCATTGAGATAGAAACCCTTGACACAGCCTGCTCTCTCACAGAGCTAATCAAAAAACGGTTTAAAGGGCCCATGAGCACGTCCCCTTCCACTCCCTGTTGGACAAGTCTCTCCTATTCTTTGTCTTTCAGGTCTCAGATTCAAATGTCACTCCCTCAGAGCCCTCCTCACCCTGTCTATTCTCTCCACCTCCCTTGTAATAAGAACTTATAACTCTTGTAATTATAAGAAAAATATTGTATATTTTCTTTAAGCGTGTGTTTACTGCTTGAACTCCATACGCAGCACTAACATAAGGATGCGCTAAGTGCTATCATTTACCAAATAAATGACTGAATAAACAAAGAAGCAACCCAATCCCTCAACGACACTTCCTACACATCTTTCGAATCCTTTTACTTCTTTCCTACTCCCCAGCCACTGTGGAAGTCTAGGATGCCATCCTGCTGTTCTGAGACTTATCCCCTTGTCGCCACCCCTTCTCTGGTGCTTTCTGAAGTCCACCCCTATCCAGGAGCTTGAGTGTCTCACTGAAATGCAGATCCAATCACACCACATCCTGCTTCGAACTCTTCAGTAAATTCCAATTTCCTTCAAGTCCTATCCAGTCCTGCCTCCCTCTTCCGCCACTCTCCCTAAATCCCGAGTCAGGCCTCCCTTCCTCAGTTCCTGCAACACACCAGACTCTCTCCTACTTCTCACTTCTCCAACCCCCTCCATCCATAAGCCTCTGCCTAGCTCAATCCTACTTATCTTTCAGCTCTCAAATATCAGTTTCTCCTAATGACGCAGGATAGCCTAGAAAAGACATGGCTCTCTTCAAGATGTGGCTCTAGAATTTCTCCGTCGTCCCTTACTCAGCCCTTCCTTGTTTCCATTTTAAGCCTGAAAAAGAAGCCAAGGCCAGGAGACCAGACAGACAGCCTTGGGCAGCCTCCTCCATGCTAGGAGGCATGGGAAACAAGCCAAGACCCCGAAGCATGCTGGACAGCCTTGGGACACCCCCACCCAGAAAACAAAAGCCCATCATTCAGACAGCTTGGGGGCAGACTCTCTCTCTGAGCTGCCCACACTTTTCTCTTCTGTATTTTAATTTCAATAAGACTTGCACTTTCCTGCTTGTTGTTTGTTACGTCCTTAAATTCTTTCTTGTGACATAAGACAGGAACCTGGTCACCAGAGCTCGGAGATCAGGGTCCCTTGCTTTAGACATGCTAACCATTAGAGGAATTCTACTTGGGATTGAGTTTTTACAAAAACTGCCCCTCCAATTTTCCCTTCCCTTGACATTAAAGAAACCTGACATCTACTTTCTTAAGATGGATTTGAGGGTAAGGTCTCCCATCTTCCTGGTTGGGGCCTTTGCCATCAATAAACCTATCCAAACCCTGACTTGAGTTTTTAATCTTAGTTTGGGCCTTTGGAAGCTTTGGGCACAGAGACTTTGGTAAAATACCTGTGTTTTAAATACATATAATCTCATCTACTTCACTTATACCTTAGACTTTTATTAAGCTTTAGCTACAAGTATATACCACCCAATGCTACTTTAATAATATCGGTATTAGAAAACCTCTGTGATTTAAAACCGCGAGGAATTTGGAGGAGAGGTGGAGCTGGAGTGGGAAGTACACGGCTGAATAATCTTACTTTGTTAGGTCTGTCATTTTCATTTTCCCAAATGAATCTGTCAAGCATAAATAACAGATAAAGTTGTACGATCTCACCTCGACATGCTCACAAAAGCAAAAGCCCATGTAAAATTCTCCCGCAAAAGGAGGGCAGAGAGGGACCGCCTTAACGTAAATTTCACCGGTGCCTCTTCACCCCAAACTGACGAAATCCCCAGGTCACGAGGACAAAAGGACCCCGGCAGGTCAACGCCAGCTCCTTTAGCAGCCCCGCGAGACCCCGCGCTGGAGCCTATGCTCTGCAGGTAACAGGGGAACCGGTGGTGCCGTTACCAGTGATGCGCACTCCACTCCCGAGGTCCGAAAGGGTGGGAGGCCCCGGGACAGGCCTGGGGGCGCCCGAGAGAGTTGGCAACTGTGTCCTCCAGCCTCCAGAGAAGTCCTAGAGCCCTTCCGCGGGGAAGAGATGGGGCCCCCAGCTCGCAGGCTCCACTAGGGACCTTGGGGACAGAACCAGGCGGGAAGATGGGCCAGGGGGCTGTGACCAGAACCGTTGGGGTCGGTTGGGAGGGGCCTCGTGACTATCCCAGACCGACCAGGCAGCGGGAGGCCCCCCAAAAATGCTTTTATGTAGTTACCATTTCCTCCTGTAATGCTTTTCCTTTCATTCATTCATTCAATAAATATTTGAGTTTTGCCTCCACAGAACTTTTATTTCGACTGGGGAGGAAGATACATAGTAGCATATACAAGAAAATGTGTTCAGTGCCACATCGGAATATTTCTAGTATGTTTCCAAATTTCATTCTGTAGAGATTCAATCATTTCTCTTAAAAGTCTTTCTTTAAAAAAAATAAAATAGAACTCAAAAAGACAGAAAACAAATTTATAGTGCGATGAATACTTTTAAAATCCACTACCTTAGAAGTCTCGTGTCCCTTCTCAATCACAAACAGACCTCCACACCCAAAAAGGAGCAATATCCCGGCTTTTACTGCAATGACTTTGTCTTTCTTTATAAACACTTTTACTACCTAAGTCTTTATTCCTAATACCACAGTTTAATTTTGCCTGTTTTTGAGTTTTATGGTAATGGAATCATGCAGCTTTTTTTCTTTTTTAGTTTCTTTCATTCACCGTTGTGAGACTGATGTCTATCATTGTGTATACTTGACAGCCATCCTTGGCCCGTGTACACGTCCACTGCTGGTTTTGTGAGCCTTCAAAGAGCTGTGTCCAAAGCTTGGACGGGCAGGGTGCGGGGCTGGGGTGGAGGGAGGAGCCAGAGGGGCCTGTGAGGTCCTGCAATCCTCCAGCCTGGGTTGAGTAGGATAGGGGCAGGAACAGTGTCTGGAGAGCGAGCGTGCCCTGGGTTAAAGACCAATCCTAGAAGTAGAGACCAAAAGTAGGTACCTGACCCAGCTGGGTGGGTCTAAGGAGGGCTCCAAGGTCAGAGGGCGGAGCAAGGGGAGAGCATCAGGTGTGAGGGCAGGGCTTAGGCAGGGTCTCACTTCTAGTTGGCTAGTCCTCAGGATGCTCTTTTTCTCTAAGGTTCTGAGATTCTATAACACCAGGCTCACGAAGGTAACTGCCAGTTCACAAAGTGGATCACACCATTCATCCTATTCCTTTTTTAAGCTCTTGAAGAAAGTTTTAATTTTCCTCTTCGATGGGTTTTATCTTTCAGTTTGATCAACTCCTAGACACTATATATCCATACATATAAGTTTTCATATCACTTCCCTTTTGATTCTTATTGGAAGTGGGAGGGGTTTCTGGGACATGAGGGACATGCATGCTCTAATTTAAATCACAGATATAAATCAGAGCATCCAGTTGATACAGCAGATGCCAAATAAATGTTTCTTTAACTTTCCCCCTTCTGAAGGGTAAAGAGGTATACAAATGTTGGGAATTTCTCAATTCGTGTGTTGTGAGGATATAATAATTTACATACAAATACAGTGACATGCTACCATCTACTGGAGATCATGGGTATTGTATTCTATCTCAAGCATCTGTTCTTGAAACCAATCATAAAACCTTCCTTCCTATTAGAAAATTCCTACTTAAGGAACAAGACAGGGCTGTCCCTACTACTAATTTTATTCACTATAGTGTTGGAAGTCCTAGGTAGAGCAATCAGGTAAGAGAAAGAAATAAAAGGCATCCAATTTGGGAATGCTGAAGTCAAAGTGTCACTTTTTACAAATGACATGAGTCTTTATATAGAAAACCCTAAAGATTCCATTAAAAAACTATTAGAAACAATAAACAAATACAGTAAAGTTTCAGGATACAAAATCGACATAAAAAGTCCATGGTGTTCCTATATACTAACAATGAATTTTCAAAAAAAAGAAATTAAAAAAACAATTCCTTTTGCAATTGCAACAAAAATAAAATACCTAACGAAGCATGTGAAAAACCTATACACTGAAAATTATAAGACATCACTAAAAGAAATTGAAGAAGATGTAAAGAAATGG